GAGAGAGAGAGAGAGAGAGAGAGAGAGAGAGAGAGAGAGAGAGAGAGAGAGAGAGAGAGAGAGAGAGAGAGAGAGAGAGAGAGAGAGAGAGAGAGAGAGAGAGAGAGAGAGAGAGAGAGAGAGAGAGAGAGAGAGAGAGAGAGAGAGAGAGAGAGAGAGAGAGAGAGAGAGAGAGAGAGAGAGAGAGAGAGAGAGAGAGAGAGAGAGAGAGAGAGAGAGAGAGAGAGAGAGAGAGAGAGAGAGAGAGAGAGAGAGAGAGAGAGAGAGAGAGAGAGAGAGAGAGAGAGAGAGAGAGAGAGAGTTTTGTGTTCTGCTTCATGTGCATGTGAAAGTCTGAAGTTGATGTTGATTGTGTCCTTTGATCTCACTCTATTTTGTTTATGAGGCAGGATCTCTTGACTTTGCCAGTGCCAATTCTAGCTGATCAGCTTGCCCTGGCATCCCCTGCCTTCTGCGTGCTATGATTATAGGTGGCTGCTGTGCTTGCTTGGCTTTTTTAAAAAAATATTTTAATTTTAATTTTTATTTTATGTGTATGAGTGTATTGCCATGTATGTGAGTGCACCTGTGTCGTGCAATGCTGTGGAAGTCAGAAGAGGGTTTCGCATTCCCCTGGAACGGGAGTTAAGGACGGTTCGTAGTCGCCATGTGGGTGCTGGGATTTGAACCCGGGTCCTCTGCAAGAGCAGTCAGTGCTCTTAACCGCTGAGCCATCTCTCCAGCCCCCCAAAATAAAAATTTTTAAAAAGACTTGGATATAATCTTTATGAGTGAAAGTCATCTTTTTGAATGAACTGTTGTGTGAGATCTGAGAATCGGTTACTTAACTGCCACCACAGTTAAGGTAGAGAATAGTCCCATCAACTTAAAACATTCTCCTGACCCCTTTCCGTATTTTAAGACAACTTGATGATAGAACAAATTCTAAGGTTTGACAAACCAGAATCTTCACCAAAATCCTACTTTATAGTCTTTCCTCTTCCTTTCTGTTCTCTTCATCCACAGATGAGGGAAAACTGAGCAGAGAAAAAATTAGGGGTAGTCACAGCCAATGATTGTCAAGTGTTTAATGTTTTTACTGCTTTAGATTTTTGTTTAAATTTTCTTATTTATCAACCTAAGTTTTATTTAGTTGGTCAAATTTCAATAGTTCTCATGTTTTATTTTTCTTAAACTTCATTTTTATGAAAAAGGATTACCAGCCAGTCTTTAAACAACTATTCTCAGGTTCTCATTGTGTTACAGTACCTGCAAG